AATATTTCCAAAGTCACACTCTAAAGGCCAGATTCAAGCTTTTGTTACCTCCCTGTACTTCAACTACATTGATTTTTACAGAGTTTTTTTGGTGTGATGGAATCAAATCTGGCCTTCCAAAGCGCTGATTCTCCACTACATTCAGTGTGATGGCCACAAGAAGCTGGTTGCAACTCCCTGATTCAGACATGCTCAGCACTTGTGCAAGGTATTGCTGCACAAGGCAGCTCAAACTTATGGCAGCGGCATAAGATCCCTAGAGGACTGGATGTAGTAGATTAGAACACCACTCTGACACACTCCCTCCCCTTCTTGTCCTGCCCATGCCACGCTCCTTATGCACCCCCTCTTTCCTCTTACACTGGGTTTAGGAGGGGTGGATGGTGTAGCAGCAGAGCAGCCACCTCCATCAACTGTATGCCAGCAAAGAGTTTCCCTGCTTGGGGAGAATTCTCCATTCGCCATCTTTTGCTGCTTTAAGGCCACTTTGTGCTGGCCTTACTGGACTGGAAAATCCAGCCCTAAATTTGTAATCGGCAAAGTTTTCACCAGCATTGCAGGAAAAACTGCAAAGTCATTTGACGTTATAGACCCTTTCTTTAAATATTCATCATTTTCAGAGAGATTTTTATTTTTTGCCACGTGATATCTGAGTGCATCAATGCGCAAATTCATGACTAAGAAGATTTCTGTCTCACCTTCACATCTTCTCAATAATTTTATTGAGGCATTGTTGAGTTTGAGTCCTTGTGGAATTGTAGCTTGGAACATGAAAAGATAAGACTATCCCCTTAAAGACACAGGTCCGTTTACCAGGCCAGAATAGGGCTCACATACCACCTCATTCTGACGACTGTAAGCCCAGTGGGACTCCAAGAACAGGAGGTTCCAAGCATGGAACTTATGAAAATTGAACTCCTTCAAGCAGCACTGTGTACAGCTAGTTCTTTTACTTGTTTGTCCCACAATGAAGCACTGTTTGTGCCCTAAATGCGGCTTTCAGTGAGCTGTGAGTGACTCTTGGTTTTCAGAGCTGCTGAAAGTCTTAGCCATGACTACATCAACCACTTATTAGTAAAAGGCAGATGCTGTTGGAGTTTAAAGACAGAGGGCTCGATACTGAGCTTCCATTAAGATAAGGGGAAGTTTTATCATTGTCTTCAGTGGTGCAGGCCCTGGGTTTGTCCAAGTTAACAACAAAAATTAAGTATCTAGTTGAGATTTTCAAAGCTGGCCAGGGGTTAATTCTAATGGAAGATGCGTAAACTAAATCCCCTCACTGTTTTGAATATTAAGACTCCTGTTTCTCATCATCTAATCAAGTTCATTGGGGAGCATTTTCAAAAAATAGTCAGTGTTGGCCTAACTCTGTTTTTATTAGTCAATGGGAGCTTTTACTACTCAGTGGCATTAGAGATAGTCCTGAAAGCTGAACACTTTTGAAAATCCTACCCAGAATAGGCCTTTATGTCACTTTACTCTTCAAATTCATTATACTCTAATAAAATTCTCTAACAAAAAATTATAAAAATTGTCAGACCAAAGAAAACCATGATGCTATTCAGAGCAGTGGTGGTATGACCACATTCTTTGTGTTCCTTCTGAGCTATTTTCTTAGTGTCTTGACGGTGCTTTGAATTGGGCTGGTGATAAACTATGTGTATATTTCCTTGTAATTCAAAAACTGTCACTACAATAAAAATACTACAGGCTTTATCCAAAGCCCACTGAAGTCAATGGGCTTTGATTTAGACCCTAATATGCACCTTTAGGTGCTACTATCATACAAACATGCAACAAAGAGGCAGTTCCTACCCTGAAGCGTTTGCAATCTAAACAGGATAACTAAAACAGAGTGGGGGAACCCAAGGAAACAATGAGTTGACACTGGTCAGCATGACAACAGTGGTCACCGCAAACTAGCTGCCTAATCATTATCGAGATTTTTGGAGGCATCACTGAAAACATCCATAGTTTTAAGGATGGATTCGAAGGAGGATAATGAGGTGTCTTTTTCAGTATTTACTATGAGCTCCTCCCATGCATTAGGGGAAGCATGGGTGAAAGCATGGAGATGCTTGTAAGAATATTATAAAAACGGGCAGTCAAGACTGGCATCATTTGTGGAATGAAGATGACAGTTAATATCTCAATACTGTGTAAGAGACAATAGGTGGGTTGGGGCTATAGGCCTCAAAAGTGCAAACAAGTAGTTTGTGCTTGTTGCAATGGAGAAGGGGCAGCCCGTGGAGGGATGCAAAGAAGGGGATGAGATGGTCATAGAGATGTTCCAGGAGAATGATCTTTGCAGCAGCATTTTGAACATCCACAAACAGTGCCATAGACAAATATGATGCTTTACCAATAGAATAAAGATAGCTCCTTCTCCAAGAAGGTTACAGAGTAGATGTAAGAGCATTAATTACATTTCTGATACAGAGGTTTCTCGTCAGGAGTTTACATGCAGGATGTGAAATTAACACACAGCATAAGAGGCAGAACTGAAGCATAAAAATAGTCTCCCTATTCCCAAATATAAGTTTTCTACTGAGATCTTACCTTTAAAATCCTACTATGTTATGGTTAGCTGTGGAGGTAATTCCTTCTCAAATAGAAAACACAATATTCTGTTGCCAATTATTGGCTAATCTTGCAGTATGGTTATATGCTGAGAAGTAACTCTAAAAACAGTATTGTGGGTTTCATGATTATGGTCACACAATGATTTCAAGATCAACTTTATGAGATTTCCAAATGGAAAGGTTTTTTTCTAAGTGCCAGTGTTACAATCTCACCATGGGATATAAAAGTCACGCTTGTTTATTTTTGGTTCTTGCATTATTACCATTCATAAAGAGTCTGCAAGTGTAACTTAGATAACAATTCTACAGCTGATATACAGACCAAAACAAAATCCAGGTTTGTTTCACATAACTGTTGACTATGTAAATGTAAGGATAAGAGGAGTAAAAATATAGAAAATATTTATTTTTGCCAGAAAAGTAAACAGCAATCAACTGAAAAAGACTTAGGGAGCAGATATGTTATGTAATGACATGCCATTTGTACTGAGTCATTTTTCTGAGCATAACTACACTTTACAGGGATGTTGTCAACTTGATTATGTGAAAATGGTACATTTTTCAAATTCACTTTCCTGAGAGATCTCCCTTTAAATAATATATCCTGGAGTTTTGGTAATTATTATTTATTTTAATTATAAGACTTTTCTACTCCCTGTTGATATTTCAAATGGTCTTTTAGGCAGGCCTCAAAGCAATACCAAACAGGCCCAGGACCACTTCTCTTCCTTCCTGCCCTAATCCATTTCTCTCAGCCCACTCCTGCCTGCTGCCTCTTAAGTGTCACTTTCAGCTTTGCTGATGCGGTTACTAGTGAATATCCTTTTGAAGAGCGTGGGTAGATTAAAAAAAATAAATAAGTGAAACTCATTGTTCACAAAGTGCTGTTAAATACACATATCTAACAATAAATTCTATTTCGTAATATTTTTATGTACTGAAAAATCCCACGATGTCCAATATTTTCTTTATTAGATGCCTTAACACTGTACTTGTAGCCATATTATGCAATCAGTGCCACAAATGAAGTAAGGTAATACTTAACTAAAGTAAGAGACATACAATAGTGCCTGTTCAGACTTGCCTTTCTTATCCAGAGAATAAGAAAAAAACTTTGTGTTATGGATTCTTACCATACACAAATGCATTACAAAACATTCCTCTTAATAGGACAGAAGGTGAGTACCATTTTGAATAACATTTCCGTTTGAACTTTTGCAACATAATTACAAAATAGAAATGTACCCTTTATAGAACTACTAGTACCTTGAGCAAGCATCTTTTAATGTAGATTGTTACCGTTTTCTTTTCTTGACTTCAGCACCAATACCTATATATATATATAACTTTACTAAAAGTAATTCACATACCAGGTAGCCCAAAACATTCTGCTTTTCCTTCCATGCCAAAGAAAAGATCCTGACTTTTCAACCCACTTTATCTCTTATTTAAAAGAGCAGGGAAAGTTTTAAAAAAAAATCCAGTATGCCCAATATGCCTGTTATGAGCAGATGTAGACATGGCATATTCATTAAAGTCAAGAAACCCCTCAAATACTGCAGCCACATACTTAGAGTAAAGTTGTGAAAAGCAAGAGACAGCTGAAGCAAACTTGGAATAAACAGGATACCCCACCCCCACCCCCTAAACTTTCACTCAGACCAAAAACTTTTCCTGATGTTTGAAAAAGTTTAACTTTTTCCTTCATTCAATCTGGAATTCTCTGCATTTCCAGGACTGGAAGGGGAGGTGCCAAAATACCTAAAAATGGTACTCACTATTTCCAACCTGAATCAAATCCCCCAGTTCCAGCCTTGTTTTGCAGACTCCAGAGTTTCATGTACTTCAGATAAGCCTCTGAAGTAGCAAATGCCTATCCAAACAGAACTGAACTCCACACCTTGTGAGGTTTGCGTCACTAGTTAGAATGATGCATAAAATGGTTCCCAATCAGTAAGTCCTGGTTGAAGGGTGCTCGGTGGCCAGTAGCCCTTCAAAGTATCTAAAGAGCTTTACATACTGTGCAGCACCCTTACTTCAAAAACATCGACAACATTGCTGCTTCCATCAATGAGCAGTTGTTAGTCATTGACACGAGGCTGTGCTCTTATATCCACTATAGAATTTTTCCTGTAGCACTTGCACAACTTTGCTACAAAAGCAAATAAAATTACTACCTGGACTTGTTGATCTAAGACGTTGCAGTAGCAAAGCAAAGTCAGAAAACATTGATTACATGCTCACTGGCATTTTTTGCACAACAATTTTGGGCAATCACTAGATATTGCAACTCCTGTGGTAATAATCAAACTATGAACTATTTAAATTTTTGTCCAATACTGTTAAACATGAGATAGCAGCAAAGGAAGGCTCATAATCAGAAAAATAGTACTAGTAACATTAGAAAATCGCTCCTACCTTTAATTGTGCTTGGGGAGAAGGTGTTCCCAAACTCCTGCTGCTTCGGTTTTAAAGACTGTGGTGCTGGCAGCCCTGGAGGCTGTGGGACTTGGAATAAAGGCTTCCCATTTGTAACCACTTGTCTCCTGGGACTTAAAGCAGGGAGGTGGATGGTACTATCAGTGATGTTGCTCTGAGGAGCTACTCCTCCTCCAAGGGGCATCTTCAAGTGGAGGCTGGTAGACAAGTTTCCAATAGCTGGGCTTGGGGTACTGCTATTTGAAGATGGGCAGGGTGTTCCTGCATGAACTCTGATAGGTGGAATTTGCTGTCCGTTGATCATCCCAGGACCATGGGGAGTACCCGAGGTCCGATGGCTCATACTGCATGACCTCCCATTCATTGTCAAGGAGTTGCAATGATCAAAAGGTGTTATACAAATCCACAGATATCAATGACATCAGGCCAAGGTCAGTATGTTATCCATAGTGATTAAGCCTGTTAAAAATACATAAATAAAAATATTTTACACTGTAGTAAATAATATATGATGACAGGACTGTGCACAATATTTAACTATATGAAAAAATATTGTTTGTGAGCAGCAAAGTATGAGCAATATACAGGCAATCAAAGAGAGAGGACAAAGCTAAATGATGACTCAGAATTGTAATAAGAAAGCCTGCCCCTTCAAAAGCAGAAGTTTACAATAAGGTCAGCTGTCTTCAGACTAGATAAACTAGCCATGAAAGAGAGTGAATGCTGAGCAAGTCAAGGAAGTCAGCCTGGAGTGAAAAGCAACTGCTGAGTGGAAGTCATCATCAGGATGAGCACCACTATCCCATTCTGCCAGCTCTTCACTCTGTTGATTAAAAAGGTGCTGAAAACCAAAACACAGCAGCCAAGCAATATTCAGACACATATAAGACATGAAAGAGATGCCAGTTGACATTCTAAAGGTCAGAAACCACAGCAGAACTGATCGCAGAGGGTTTTTTCTCTACTACACAGCATGTGACTCCACTAGGAAAAATACTGTAAGAGTGCTCTACTGTGCCAAGTTCATAAAAATAATTGCAATCATTGCAAAGATGGATCAAGATGTAAATCTTATAGATTCAGATTATTTTTAATGTCCTAATAAAGCGTAGGGCCAAATTTTCAAAGGCAGCCTTTTAATTGTGCAAGTTTTTCCCAGAGTATTTTTCCACTTACATTTTTATGAATGTTCACGTATACAGACACAATCAGATCTGTGAACAGAAGCAGCATTTGTGGATGCAAATCAGGTGGTTAAAGATATCACACAAATAGGATAATTTGGGTCCCAGTTCAGCAAAACATTTAAGCACATGCTTAATTTTAACCACCAGATTCAGGTGTTTAAATTTAAAGAACATGCTTAAGTGTTCTGCTGAGTCAGGACTTAAATACCTAGCTAACTGTTCTGCACAATTGCAGTTTGCACACACAAAACTGAGGCTCAAATTACACACGTTTATATTCATCCAGACACACAGGACTCTATCTTGCAAAAGACTAAGAACCCTGGCCCTGATCCAGCAAAACACTTAAACACGAGTAGCCCCACTGAAACCAATGGACACAGGGCCAGACAGTTCATGATTGAAGTCCATAATACTACGTGACACAAAAGCCACTTGGCAAAGGGCCCCCTGTTCTTTGCAAACAACTCGTCTCATACCTGACAAACTCGCTACACCAAACACATGTCTTGCAGGGTATTTATTCATAAAATGAAGTATCTACAGAAAACCCATAACTTATGAAGACTCATTATCATTGCAAGATGTATGTACAGGTAATATTTAAGGCGGGGTGGGCAAACTTTTTGGCCTGAGGGCCACATCGGATTTCCAAAATTGTATGGAGGGCCGGTTAGGGGAGGCTATGCCTCCCCGAACAACCAGGTGTGGCCCGGCCCCCACCCCCTAACTGACCCCCCCCTGCTTCCCGCCCTCTGACAGCCTCCCCAGGACTCCTGTCTACCCCCCCCCCCACTCCCTGCCCCCTTACCGCGCTGCCTGGAGCACCTATGGCTGGCGGCGCTACAGCTGCACCGCCCGGAGCACCAGGACAGGCAGCCGTGCCGCCCGGCTGGAGCCAGCCACGCCACGGCACAGCACAGAGCACCAGGTCAGGCTGCGGCTCTGCAGCTGTGCTGTCACCCAGAGCATTGCGCCGGCAGCGCAGTGAGCTGAGGCTGCAGGGGAGGTGGAACAGCAGGGGAGGAGCCGGGGGCTAGCCTCCCGGGCCAGGAGCTCAGGGGCTGGGCAGCAGGGTCCCGCGGGCCAGATGTGGCCCACGTGCCATAGTTTGCCCACCTCTGATTTAAGGAATAATGTAACTATATTGAAAGTATGCTTTATGGTCTTGGAGTAAAAGTTAGTCACTATGGGATAATATTTTTTTGGTGATGACCCATTCAGACAGAATGGAGTTGTTACCACTCTTTGGTTAGCTGGTGGTATAATGCAAGACTAATTGTCTAGTCTTACTCCATCCCAAGACTATCCATGGAAACCCATCAGAGACAACTGCAAACAATCAAAACCAGCTGGAAGTAAAAAAAAAAGCGGGGGGGGGGCTGGGGGGGGAATGTTTCAATAGATATGGGATCTCCCAGAGACAAAAGACTGTTTCAGTATATCACAGAGTGGGAAGAGACACTCTGTATTCATTCACTGAGGAAATATCTTGTGGAGCAAGGGTGTTTTCATGAAAGTTTGGATCCTATGTCCTGTAAAGTCAACCAGCTCTGCAACAGACTGAACTTTGGAGAGAAAACTACTTTATTAGATAGGAAAGGTAACCGTTAGTAAGGGTAGACCCAGGTTCGCGTTTTATGATTTTGTTTTGTATTGTAGCCATTTGTTTCTACCACTCTGTTTTGTTTCTAGTTGAATCTCTACTCTTTCTAAAATAAAGCTATTTTTGTTTTAGTATAAGTGCTCATAAGTGAGGTGTGTTATACAGGAATGGTGATTTAAAGTCCGACCAGTAAACTGGGGCACATTGCTCGTTGGGAGGCAGAGGATCTGGGATTTCTGTGAGTAGCCACTGTCAGGAGCTAGATATCACAGGGGAACACTTCAAGGGAACTCGGGGACTCGGGTGCATCTCTTGTTAACCTGGAAGACAGAGACAGGGTGGCAGGGGCGGCTCTATGTATTTTGCCGCCCCAAGCACCGCAGTGAGGCAGGCTTCGGCGGCATTCCTGCAGGAGGTCCGCTGGTAACGCAGATTAGATGGCATGCCTGCTGGAGGTCCGCCGGTCCCGCGCCTTCAGTGTACCCACTGCCGAATTGCCGCCAAAGCCGTGGGACCGGCGGATCTCCCGCAGACATGCCACCGAAGACAGCCTGACTGCCACCCTCACGGCGACCCGGAGGCCGCCCCCCGCGACTTGCCACCCCAGGCACGCACTTGGTGCGCTGGTGCCTAGAGCCGCCCTTGCAGGGTGGCATAGCCCACAGAAGAGTGTTTGAGTGGCTGAAAGGCTAGTGATGTCAGGGAGCTAACACCCAGTTACCACTAGCAAAACTCCCTCATGCTGGAGGCAGGGGTAACAAGGTGACTCTCAGTGCCAGGTACCCAGAGAGCCATCACAGACTACTCTACTCACATGCTTAGAGTTAAGAACTTCAATTCTACAAGGTCAAAGCACTATGGCCCTGTTCTGTCCAAAAAAACTAAGCATACATTTAACTACTTTGATGAATTGGGACCCTAGTGCTCAGCACCATGAAGATCAAGTGTGTGTGTGTATTTTATATATATAATGTTTAATATATATCAATTAGACGCATACATATATACACACATGCATACACATATTTCAGTTTGTTATTTGATAACAATGGATCTAATCCTATTCCCTTATTTTTCATTGTTATTTTTTATATTACAAGAATGTAAATTAGAAAACATTGGTTAAAAAGCAATATCATTTATTTTCATGCATGGCTGCAGCATAAATCACATTTTGCAATTCAACCAAGGACAGACAGAGCTGAATGTTCTTAGATTCCCAAGGTTCATTTTAGTAAGCAGAATGTACTTTGCCCTAACACAGGTGACTGGCTCTTTAGAAAAGAACTTATAAACAAAAAGCTGTCATGCTGTTGGCAAGGCTGTACACTACAGCAGTATAAATCAGCAGCAAGTCAAAATCATTCTTGTCTATAATTTTTAACTACATTAGAAAAGTGCAAACATAATAAAGAGGAGATTATACATGACAGATTTATTAGTTTTGTTCAGCAACAGTGTATTTAGATTAATTGACAGAAGAATATTTCTATACAATATATATACCTAAAGGGCCCTATCAAATCCAGATCAATATATTCCATGTGTTTTTAATACTCTGATTTCCTTGTTATTTTTTCTGTAATACTGTATGCTACAATAAGATGCAATACTTGGATTTGTTTTTGTCATACTTTTATCACCTGTTACTGTTTTTCACACTTACAAAAGAAATTTACTATACTTCACTGGATTTCAAGCTAACCATTGTACCAATATAATTAATTAATTTCAATTATACTTAAGTTGATGTGTTCACTTGATAGGCATGTGTAACTTCTTTTAGTACTGATTGAAATTTATGTGCATGGAAGAAAATACACCCATTAGTCAACAATATTAAAGAGACACTGTCAAAATAAATATATATTTTAAAATATAATTATCAATTATCTGTGCGACTAAAAACACCTTAAATTTTCCAAAATAAGCCAATTTTTAAAAATCTAATTTACTTTTCACCATCTCTGCCTCTTTTTCCTTTTTCATACATACACATAAGTTATATTTTGAACCACAGCAAATTTACAACACCTGCAGAAGTCCCCCATATCCTCTGTGGTGAAAGCAATTGCAGATAAGTCATTTAGCTTCTCTGCAATTTCTTCCTTAGTTTCCCCATATTTCTGTTACAGGTACTTACCTGCCCCCCCAAGACCGTAGTATCTGACTGCCTCACAATCTTTAATGTATTTATCCTCACAACATCTCTGTGAGGTAGGAAAGTGCTATTATGCCCATTTGACACATGGGGAATTGACGCACAGAAAGACTAACTGATTTGCCCAAGGTTACAGAGGAAATATTTGGCAGAGCAGGAAACTGAACATGGGTCTCCTGAGTCCCAGGCTAGTACCCTTTCTCCCCTTTACGCCCAGCTAACCTAGCAGACCCACTGATTCTCTTATAGGTTTCCTGATTTTGATATACTTTGAGAATGTTTTTGTGTCTTTGGCTATTTGCTCTTTAAATTCCCTCTTCACCCTCATTTCCATCTTACACTTTACCTGGCATAGTTTATGCTGCATTCTATTGGCTTCACTAGGCCTGGATTTCTGTTTTCTGCAAAATACCTGTTTGGTTTAAAAAATCTCCTGAACTACGCCATTTAGCCCTGGTGGGGGTTTTGTTGTTGTCATTTGTTTTTTCCTCCAGCCCATCCTACT